TTTTCGTCAGCGTCAATACTTAATTGGATATTTCCTTCTATACTTTTTAGCACGTAGCTATTTATTATTAGCATTATTCTTCCGACGTCTGATTTCTTTTTAATTATAGGAAATGCGTTTTTCTAAGGTACATAAACTTTTGGGATTGACTGTATAGCCAATACATCCCTGAAACGACTTCTGTTGCAACGACGGATCTTTTTAACGGACACTTGATAAAAGTATCAATAGCAGATTTCGAGTTTCCCAGTGAAAAGTCGAGTAAAAAGTTCACACGGTTCAGAACGTAACAGCAAACGCGATGTAACGTTAAACGATTCGCGACCAGCTGATCCCGCTAATTGCGGGGTAATCCAAGCTGTACCGCGAACCTGAGCACCGGCGCGCTTCCTCTGCGCTAGTCCTTTTCGAAACCGGTGTTCGGTTTCCCGGTGGAGAATCGAATTTTGAACGCGTCCGAGGAAAAATCGTCAAGCTACCAGGAATCGGCTACTATCGGATAGCCATGTGACGCAGTCGATCCCTTCCCTCGTCTCTAACACGAGACCATTGACGCAACGGTTGCGTCAATGATCTCACGTTATATCACTGGCGAACTATTAATTTGTAAACATATCGTATTATATAGAATTGTGTTACGCCGTGTAGAATTTTGTTCGGTACGCCGTCGGTGTGTTAGTTGAATAGAAAGTCCGTGAAGCGGATTTAACCGTGTGGACAGGAAAATGTGATTCGGAAGCATGTAGCACCGAATGACTGGCGTTTGCGTTATCAGTCAATCGACTCGTTGGACGATAACGACTAGGCGCGTGGCGTTTGAACCTATGATTCACTGCAGGCATTCGATTAAATCATATAAAATTGTTAGTGTTCATTCGACGGAACGCTGTTATCGTTTTTTATAAATCTGCTGGAGTGAATGGAACGTAAAAAGATCTGAGTCCTTCGATTTTTATGAAAACGAAAAACTAGGGTGCAGTCCGATCCGGCGATCGTTTGACCCCGTGCAGATTAGCTATCACCAATGACCTACTATTCTATTTAGAGAAGTTGGCAAAATTTTTTGATATAACGAGCGAACTGGGTTAATCTGCCCATTTATTTTTAGACGATCTACGTGTAGAGAGGAATCGAGCGAAATTCTAAGTAGAACTTGTCAGTCATTCTTGAACGAGCTACTGTCAAAGTGTTTAAAGTCGAAGCGCTTCGTTAACCCAGAATGTGCGAAAACTAAGAATAGGTAACAATTAACCGCGGGTTAAGAGGTAACGAGTACTGTACATACCATCGCCATAGCGATGACGAACCAGACGACATGACCGCGTAGCTGAATCAACTCGCACGCCCTCGTGTTTATCTCAATGCCAGCGGTCGTATTTTTAGCCCGACCCGTTAGAATCGACCGCGAGACTGGCTGGAGCAGTGATAATAATGAACGCGTGGACTCACGTGCCCCATACCCCGTTTTATCGCACTTTCCATTGTCATCCCTCGATCGTTGGAAACGATCGTTTCTTATTTTCGAGGGAAGACCACATCGAAAGAGTAGGAGATTCGAAGATGATGCAAATTGCGATTATTAAGAATCATTCTTTTACCGGTTTCAATAATTCTTGATCTCTGTCTCAAGTTTCGATGTCAAATGAGACACGAAGATGCAACCGAGTCGAGTCGTTCTTATTTCAACCGGAGAAAAGGGGAGAGAACGGATATCAGCGATCTAGTCACGTTAAGACAAGGTTACTTGGACCTTCTGTAACATTTTCGTTACCCTGAGTAAAATGAATCTTAATCGGTGTACGTTTACGACGTCGCCGGTGTGCTTCCCGTTTCCTCGATCGTGTTCGCGTAGACAGATGATTGATATAAATAATTCTTAAAATAAGATACTCCGTGCTTCGTGGGAGTGATTAATGATCTCGTTGGATTTATTTCTCTGTTTCAGTGTGCCAAAGCTTAGACATAAGAAACAACGTGAAGAATCTGGAGAAGAATCTGAGGGGGTGCCGAGTAGTCGAAGGCTATGTACAAATTTTGCTGATGGACAACACCGTATCGGACGACTTCGAGAACATCTCTTTCCCGGAACTGAAAGAGATCACCGGACATCTGCTTTTTTACAGGTAATTACCGAAGTGCCCGTTTATATATTAACAATAAGTCAAACGTTTATGATATCAATTAGAAAAATGTATTTCATACGTTAAACAATTTCTTGTTACGGTCTTCATGTTCCGTTCGTATAAATCAGCGTATATAACGTGATATGTTGAATATGTAAAGTACATAAATGATACTTTTTAATTGATATCATAAACGTTTCGTTTTGCAGTTTATTTATTTTTACGCAGACGTAGGAAGACCGGGAGTTTCGTTTTAAAGTAGAGAGAATCCGTCTGTGACTTCCTCCGGTCGAGGGTCACTAAACTTCCTGCTCGTTATTATCTCGTTCCTCCTTCGGTTTCTTCCTTCCGCGGGGTTTCCCCTTCTGGTCACTTTTTTTACAAGCGTCGTAAAGCACGCGTTCGCCGAGCCGGATTTCCCATTCACGACCATGTCCGCCTCTTTCATTGTTCGCGTCGTCGGTGCGCAGGGTGACGGGGCTCAGGAACATCGGACGGTTGTTCCCGAACCTGACCGTGATCCGTGGACAGTCTCTCCTCCTCAACTACGCCCTGGTCGCGTTCGAGATGATGGACCTGCAGGAGATCGGCCTGCACAATTTGATCAGCATCACGAGGGGCGCTGTACGATTCGAGAAGAATCCCGTCCTCTGCTTTGTGAGCACCATCGACTGGGACTTGATCGGCAAAGCTGGGAAGGGCGACCACGTGATCGCGGTAAGTCAGATAAATCCTTTTACGCACGACTCGTCCATAATGGACGGTAAAAATCATAGAGGCGAGCGTATGAACGGAATTCATAAACGCATAAGAGCTGTTCAAATCAGAATTTCTATAGGCAGATCGTCGATCGCTGAGAGGACTCAGGAGAGCACCGAAGAGATAATTGACCGTAGTATCGGTGTACCATTTAGAGGTTGGCACGGGAAACTGATTTTGTTTAGGAAGAAATCGCAATAGCGGGTAATAGCGCGTTTTGGCATGGCCAAGACCGACACTTGGCAAAAGATTCGAATACCGGGAGAGAGCATTATTCCATAGTAAGAGCAACGAACCATGTCGCTGGCATCTCCAGCATTGGGTAAATAAATTTCGTTCGTACCACTGAATAATCTCGCGGCAAATAGAGATTTCTGTTTTCCGCGTACGTATTCTTTGTCCGAGAATATCTCGCGATCGCTTCCGGTTGGACCGTCCACGATTTCGTCTACGGGCAATAATATCAGGCCTGGTTTCCAGCGTAAATCAGTGGATCGCTTCTGGCACAGGTCGCGACGAACTATTTCTGTCTAGACCGTCCCGCCACTGTTCTCTCGCTACCCGGTGTAATAATATCGTCATCTCGCCCGTGGAAAGGTGGCCCACTCTCGCTGTGACCCTTTGCTCGTCTCCCGTCTGCGCGAGTGGATAAAAGATCATTCCAATTTGTTCGTATCGGCTCGATCCTATTTCGCAACGTTTCATCTCCATTCGAACACAATCGGAGGATCTAAAAATAAACATTAACAACTCTCCGACCGGTAGAACGGTACTAGAAAGGGTCCGAGATCGAAATGGCTTGAATCTTGAAACTTGTTCCGAACATGCACACAGCGCAAAGGTTCATACATAGTGCGTTACTGAAATGTAAATCTTATTTAACGGAGGTATCGAACTCGATCCGTCACGCTTGCGAGACTCTCTCGCCGGGTAGCGAGCCACAATGGAGGCCGACCGGTTTTTATCCGTCCGACCATCACCGCAAACTGACAATGCATTAATTCGCGTTTAATTCGGAACGGGCACGCCCATCATCCAGTGGTACTGGTGCGCGAACGAGCCTCACGTCGACGATTTTCGCCGAGTCATATTCGACCTCGCGCTTTTTACTCTCACCGGCTACTCGGAACCAATCCGTACCTTCCCTCTTTCTCTCGCCCCAAGGAAAAATTGTAATTACAAACGCGAAACGTATCATTCGTTGGATTGACTCTTCGTTAAGACTTACGGTTATTTAATTACTTGCTCGAGGTTCGCTTTGAGTTCCTTTTAATCAAAACTCATTGACTTTTGCAGTTTAAAGTGATGTACAACTTTCTTCACTGGAGTTCGTTTGAAACTCAGACGATTAATTTTTCGTAAACGATCCGCGGTGCAACAGTGAGTCGTTTTCGCACGATGATCCAGGTCTAGGGTCGACTGCGTGACCCGTTCAGATTCGCAGCCTCCGCCTATTTATACTTCGAGTTCTATGCTCCAGCTCTCGATATCTCCTCCCTAATCTAAATTCGTTAACAAAAAGGAACGGGGAAAGTTTGCTTGGTCGAATTCTATCGAGGGGATTGAAAAGTCGTCTCGCCCAGGCGACCTGGAAAACGAAGTCGAAATCTGACGGGGCGCGGCGTTTATCGGATTCTGCGAAAAAACTGTCCCCGGCAAAGGACCAAGTCTGGTCTACAAAGATGATCGGACAATCAGTTTCCGGGCAAAGAGATTCGAATCGCTCGAGAAACAGAAGAAACCCCTCGTCCAAGATTACGGGTAACGGTCACGGAATTCTCTCTGAAAAGAATCTCGAAATTCCAACAACGATCTTTTGATCTAATTGAACGGAACTATCGTGCAACATTAACAACGTACGAGAGCGATCGTGGTCCAGCGTTCCTGCTCCAAAATTTAAATTTGAGATACATAAAAATTATCAATGATAAAATGTTGCGTGAAACGAAGAAGGCCAATCAAGCGAACACCGTCGGATTTAACTGATACGATTTCTCGGAATTGTTAATTGTGGGTATTACTCCGACAGTATGAGAAATTGAATAAAATGCGAAGCGAGCGTTTCATAATTGGCAACTTTTATTCGGATTTTCATTGCCCGCTAATTGAAATGCAGCGGCCCACGGGGTCCGGCCAAGCATGTGTATAGATCGAGGGAAGGGTGTTCTTTATTGATTTCCCCGACACCGATGCGTCGTATATTACACGTCGCGTGCCCGACGCTTCCGCGAGATAAATCTGTCCATCGGTCACGCGTCGATCCGACTCCCTCCCTCTCTTCGCGATTTCCGGATTAATTATCCGCGTCGTTTGATCACGCGTTCCAAGTGGCTCATGATTTTTATGAATCGATCTTATTGACGGGAAAATCTTTCTGTAGTCTGGTTCAGCTCCCCGGGTTATCAAATTTATTAGCCAATTTCCCGATAAAGATTTTACTCAAGGAAAAATAATTGTGACCTGTTGATCGTCGATGGAGCTTGTGTAACGTCGAGAGTACTCGAATTTAATTGATACAGCTAAATAATTTAATCGTGTGTGTGTTTGTTTCATTGATCTCTGGTAATCCCGATAAACATCACTCTTCTGTGATATCACATTTGTTGTTACGGATCGCGAGCGTAATCGATGAACCGTAACCGGATCACAGGGTTAATTACTTGCCAAGCACAGAATAAAAAAAAATCGAGAGTGGAACAGAGATTCTCATGTCGCTTACGTTACATTATAATGTTCTGGGTACTCTAATCAATGTCACCCCAGCTACTAATCTGATATCGGCGAACAGTGTACGATGAACGTCGCGTGTCAACTTTGTAACTTTGTATGACGTTAATTTCATAGTCAAAGGCCGGCTGCACGTTGTGAATAAACGAATTGTGAAAACCCGATGAAGACTTCGTTCACCGAATTATCGTCATAAACCAATTTCAATTTGACCAATATAGAACTCTCGTAGCTCGAGGCACGATTTCCAGCCGACCTCACTTGCTTTCCTCAAGAATCGTTTGTTTGTTCTACCACCACTTTTATCGGCCGAGAACAGGAAGTCGGAAAGCGTTGTTTAGAGCACAAGTACCGTTTGATCTGGGTAATAAACGATCGGGAGAAGTTGATACGGTAAACAAACGCGGGGCAAGCTCTCTCGCGAGGATTTGAGTGAAGAAATTATGTATCGCCGATGCACATAGTAAAGTATCGAGGTGGGAATAAGAGTTTTCGGTAAGCAGGGGTGATAAAAATAAATAATAGAAGGCGCCAGACGTATCGATCCCCCGGTACTCTCTCCTACGTTGTACTATGGTGTAACGCGTACAGGAAGTTGAGGAATTCTCTCGACCGGTGCGTGGCTAACGAGCTGAACTTGTCCATTCAATTATGTTTTTGATCGTTACCGTTCCACGTGCTTCCTCACTGAGACTTTTTTTACTACCACTTTCAATCCACCTTTGAAATACGCGCGTGCCACGAATTTACAACGCCGGATATCCCATCTAAAGGCCATAATGTATATTAATATTATTCTAACGAAAGGATCTGAACCTTGTTACTGCGTGAAACGTAAAACGGTCGATCGATCAGGGAATCTAACGTCGCACGAATTACTAAAAATCTGACTTTGAGACAAGATGGACCGACGGTGGTTTGCATTTGATCGTTTCTGTTTACAGGGGAACAGCCCGAAGAACGCTTGTCCGGTGTGTGAGAAACACTGTCCACAAAGCCTGACCAACCCTAGAGAATACCTGTGCTGGAACCAGCAACACTGCCAACGAAGTAATTCTATTATTATTTGCACACAATAAACGCTGACCCTGTCCATTCGTCCGAAAATCAATTCCTATTTGCCAATCGCGTTCTTCATAATTTCATGGGCCTCGCCTTTAAACGCGTGAGCCTGTACGGAATTTGGAAATTTCCCGGTGACACGGGGAAAATTCCCAATCTCTGAGAGAAGATAAAAGGTCGCGTGACTATGTACCTCCCACGCGCGCGACCCACTTGCATGGCCTGCCACACTGTTCCTTTCTTCCTTCCTTCCGAAATTATCCGATCATTCCGTTGGTCTCGCGGAAAATGAACAACAAATTGAGGACACCGTAGGCGCTTCACGTGGGCGCCTTTGCATACGTTTAACTTACTTTTTCACCGTTGTTAAATATCGTTCTTTTAATCGCTGCTCATGACAATTAATATTGCATGTCGTAAATGATAAGACGGGTTCAAAAGTATATTCTATAATAGAGAGGGGACGAAAGTTTCGAAGAGTTTATCGATCGCATCGCTTGTTTCATTAACAGGCGACGGCTCCTCGCAAAAATTACTTAGGGAAAGTTTGAAAGGCACCGTGCCACGTGTTGCCAAACAGAGAGAGAGAACGTGACAAGACTTCTTCCTGCTGAACTTATGCTAAGACTTGTTTACCCGGAACCGACGAACGTTTCCTCGATAATAAAAATTTCATCACTTTCCTTTACGATAAAAAAAATATTAAAAACGTATAAATACCACCTATCTCCCCGCGCGCCGTTTAAATATTATTTCATGAACGCGAGAAGAACAATAAATCCCTCCATTCCCTCGCAGAGCATATAGAAACTTCCTACTCTGCAAACAGTAATGCAAACATGTTTTTAAGCCGATCGGTAAATACGAAAAAATGTTAGAGCGTTGGTTGATCGATTCCAGTTTGCGAACGGAAGTGCGAGAACAACGCGTGCGACGAGAATGGAACTTGTTGCAACGTATCCTGTCTGGGCACGTGCACCGGCCCGACGAATCGCGATTGCTCGGTGTGCAAGGACGTGTTGACGACCGACAAAGAGTGCACGGACCGTTGCCCGAACGGAACGGTCAAATTCATGAATTACCGATGCATCACCGAGGACAAGTGCCTCCAGATGAGGAAACCGAGGGAGGCGTTCAACGTGCAGACCTATCCGTATAAACCTTTCGACGGGCTCTGCACTATGGAGTGTCCATCCGGTTACATGGACGACGAGTCGAGCGGCAAGAAGACCTGCAAGAAGTGCGAGGGTCTGTGTCAGAAACAGTGCCTTGGTAACATCGTGGACAGCATCGCCGCGGCGCAGCGGCTACGCGGATGCACGCAGATCACCGGTGGCTTGGAGATCGAGATAAGCGGCGGTAAAAACATCGTGAAGGAGTTGGAAGACAACCTGAGCACGATAGAGGAGATCGACGGCTATTTAAAAATCGCTAGAAGCTTTCCATTGATATCCCTCAACTTTTTGAAGAATCTGCGCGTGATAAAAGGGACCCAGTTACAGAACTCGGAGTACTCGTTACTCGTAATGGACAACCAGAATTTGCAAGAGCTGTGGGACTGGAACTTGCACAAAGAGATCAAGATTTTAAGGGGCAAGATCTTCTTTCACTTGAATCCGAAATTATGTCTCTACAAAATTGACACGCTTCGAGAGAAGACCGGCCTGGCTCCGTTCACGGATTATGACGTATCCCCGAACAGTAACGGGGACAAGGTCGCGTGTAATTTAACTGAATTGATGACTAGAGTGAGCAACAAATCGCCGACGGGCGCGGTAATCGAATGGGAACCCTTCATCCATCACGACGACAGGTCTCTTCTCGGCTACGTGGTGTACTTCATCGAGGCACCAAACAAAACCGTAACGATGTACGACGGTAGAGACGCCTGCGGTGGCGACGGCTGGAAAGTGGACGACGTGTCGGCCAGTTCCAATCGGAGCTCAGTGAGAAGTGTTCACTCGCACTATCTCTCGCAGTTGAAGCCGTACACGCAATATGCTTATTACGTGAAGACTTATACGATCGCCACAGAGAGATTCGGTGGTCAGAGCAAGCTGACGTACTTCAGGACGAGACCGACAGCGCCCAGTTCACCGAGATCTTTAAATGTGTACACTAATTCAAGCACCGAACTGATAATGTCTTGGCTACCACCGCTTCAAAAGAACGGGAACCTGACCCATTATAAAATCTTCGGAAAACTGGTGTCTGACGATCCTAAATTCATCGATCAGAGAAACTACTGCGAGGAACGTGAGTATCAATTTTTTGATCGATCCATTTTCAACGTTTATATTTACCATTTTTTACAATGGACTTTCACGCGTTTAGCTATTCTCCTGCCGGACAAGGATCTGATCTCGAATCAAGAAGAGAGGGGAATAGAAGAGGAGAAGGAAGCTTTGATTCCAGAGACTGGTTCCTGCGAGTGTTCCGATCGTGAGATAGATCAGTCAATTCGGGAGAAGGAAGCGACCAGCGCGATCGCTTTCGAAGATGCTGTGCACAACACGGTCTATGTGAAACGAAGAGGGATCAGAAGCAAGCGAGAGGCTCTGGACGAGTATGAGTCGCCCGTTAGTTTTAAAAGGAGGGACCTGAACCAAGTGAGCTACTAAATTAATGACCTGGAGATTTTAAAAAATCATCTTCGCATCGTTTAAACATTGTCATTTTGGTATTCAAAATCTTTTTAGACCATGGAGAGGAAGGTGAACGGAACGTACGAGGAGTTCGAACGAGTGGTGCCCAGCACGAATCACTCGTTTATCATGAAGGAACTACGCCATTTCAGTGCATACAACATCGAGATCCAAGCGTGTAGAGCACCGGAGGTGAACGATCCTCACAAGCTTTGTTCCGCTAAGAGCATGAGAACGTATCGCACTCTGCCGATGGCCAGCGCCGATGACATTCCACCGAACTCGTTCGAACTGAGCATTTCCGGTGAGAACAACAGCCTGACCACGGTCACTCTCAAGTGGGACGAGCCACCGAAGCCCAACGGTCTGATAATCACGTATCAGATCGAGTACAAGAGGATCGATATTCAAAACGTGAGTGCAATTTTAATTAATGTAATTACACAGAAAAAGTTCGATCTTGCGTAAAAATCTGCTGTCTACCCAAAATCTCTAACAAGACGAATTACTTGTTCCTCAGTACAAACCGACGGTGATCTGCATTACGAGACGCGATTTTGCGAACGCTGGCAATTCGTACGTGCTAAAAGAGCACCAATTCGGGAAATACTCGGTTAAGGTTCGCGCGACGAGTTTAGCGGGTTACGGCGCATACACCCAAGTGAAGTACTTCACCATAGAAGAACGAAACGCGTTGGGTGTTTTCTGGCTGATATTCTGGCTGCTGTTCTCCGTGGTGTCCGTGGTTTTGAGCTTAGTCGCGTATTACGTGTGCAAGCGGAAGTACCGCGAACGGAAGAACATGACGTTAATCGCAACCGTGAACCCGCAGTACGTCAGTACTCCGTACGTGTTGGATGAGTGGGAAGTGCCGCGGGAGAAGATCAAGATGTTGAAATCGTTGGGTAAGGGCACGTTCGGTATGGTTTACGAAGGAATCGCCACGGACATCGTCAAGGGGAAACCGGAAGTGAGGTGTGCGGTGAAGACGGTGAACAAGGATGCCAGTGAGAGGGAGAGAATCGAGTTCCTCAACGAAGCGTCCGTAATGAAGTGAGTTACGATCATTAATGATAATCAATTTTAACGAACTTTAATTCAATTTCTCTCTGACCATCAATCTACTAGATCAGATATTTTATGTCGTGTCTTATAATTTGTTTTCGCAGAGGTTTCGATGCGCATCACGTGGTGAAGTTGTTAGGCGTGGTGACCCGTACTCAACCGACTCTAGTCATCATGGAGTTGATGGTGAACGGTGATTTGAAGAAATACTTGAGGAACCACAGACTAGGCAATTGCGAGAATATTACGAACGTTCCGCCGAAACTGGAACGAATATTACAAATGGCGATTGAAATCGCTGACGGTATGGCTTATTTGTCGACAAAAAAATTCGTGCACAGGGACCTGGCTGCGAGGAATTGCATGGTCGCCGATGATTTGACCGTGAAAGTCGGAGACTTCGGAATGACTAGAGATATTTACGAGAGAGACTATTACAAAAAAGAGAGCAAGGGCTTGTTGCCGGTCAGATGGATGGCTCCTGAAAGTTTGAAGGACGGGGTCTTCAGCAGTTACTCGGACGTTTGGAGTTACGGGGTGGTTTTATGGGAGATGGTGACCCTCGCGTCGCAGCCGTATCAAGGTTTATCGAACGAACAAGTTCTGAGATTCGTGATCGATGGTAGAGTGATGGAACGACCGGAGAACTGCCCCGAATTGTTATACGAACTCATGAAACGTACTTGGAAATATAAACCCGACGCAAGACCAAGTTTTATGGACATCGCGACCATGCTATTGAAACACATCGACTCGGAGACGTTCAAGGAAGTCAGTTTCTATCACAGTGCGGACGGAATCGAAATTCGGAACCAAAACCGATCGACTTCGTCACAGATCGATCAACACCTGGAACTGACTACCCTGCAGGATTTACGAGAGGAGGAAGCAGAGGGCGAGGAGGACTCGCCTCTGAGACAGGATTTCGGGGAATTTGCGAGTTCTGAACCAAGCAGTATTAGGAACAGTTTCAGCCCCCATTACAGGATGGACTCATACGGGGAGAGCTCGAAGGCTACGAGCAACTTCCACGACCTGAACTGGTCGAATGCGCCGCTGAAGGCAGGCTTCGACGACTTCGACGGCGTGTCCACGGGCTCGATCACCTCGCCTAAAGACGCGTTGAACCTGCCGTTCGTCGAGGACAGCCTGAAGTCCGTAAAGAGTTCACCGTTCGGTAACTCGAAGAGTGCGTCGAAGAGCAACCTGAGTCAATTGTCTCTCGGCAATAGATCTGGTAGCAGTCCAAAAAATCCGAGCAAACGTAGTTTTTTGAGCAGTCCGATCTCTTCGAAGCTGGTCAATCCGGATTACGAGAACGGTAGCCCAGAGGTTTTGTCAGGTACGGAGAAAAGGGAAACGGTGCCGCTCAGAGTTGACTTCCGGTCGATGGACACGAATGATACTGACAATGGTATCGATGAGAAGGAGGCCTTGTCGTCAGTCGAATACATGAACAAACCGGAGAGCTTGAACAACGGGTACATCGACGGTACCGCCACGTAGTAATAACGCGTTTGCCCCTCAGTTGCTTTAATGAGCGTCGAGGATGCGTGAATCAGGTTTGGATTTATTGTGGAACCGGTGAGCAAAATTAACGCGACTGAGAGCGCCAGTCGAAAACGGCAGTGTCTGTAACAGAACGCAGTTTGATTCGCAGTTCTCCGGTTCATTTACTTTTTCTCCTAGAACGGAGTTCTATTTTAAGTCTCGACGCTTGCACGTGTTTACGAGTCGTTTTCGTCTCTCTAGTAGGATATTTTTATTCGTTATAGCTAGACCGTAGGTTTTATGCATTTATAAAAAAGTAATATGAAAAGCGTAAATGCATACTGTTATTTGTAAATTTATTCTTATGTAGTATTTTATACGAAAGTCCGCGGTCTAGGTATAGCAGACACTGCCTTCGTATCGAAAAACTTGGCCAGAGAACGGCCAGGAGAACCGTATCAAAGATTTTACAGTAACTTCGTGTCTCGTGCATGTGCGTATGTATTGTATATACATATATGTTCCGTTAACGCGCTTCTCTTTGTTGGAAGCTATCGTAAAATCATAAGATACAGCTTCAAAGTGGCAATTACATGGCGATTTTATATTTTACAAAAGTAGTAGACAGAGAACACGGGTGGACGCGTTTAGTTGCCACTTTGCACGATTTTAAGTTCTTCAAAACGTTATTAATGGTAGGTTAGTACTGAGAAAGATTGCAGTATGATAATAAAAGAATCACTTGTCGACGCACGGAAGTCTAGCTTCCAGAGTTGGACAGTCTCGTTCGTACTAATTCCAATCGTTTCGTGCGTCGACGAGGTTCGAGTCGTATTCGTTCTCGGATTTGGTGGTCGCGGGGAATCGCGTCCGATTTTCATGGTTCGTTCGAGGGGAAACGCGATACGGGAAATCCTCGAGATCGTGCAATAGAGATCGCGCTCGCGGCCTTGGCGATTACGACTGTTTTCTCGATTGGTGCTAACGCGAGCGTGAAGCGACGGACAGTGAAACGGGCGAGTTTCTCGAGCGCCACGGGAAATCAAACTGATCGTTTCGGAAGCTTTCCAACTTGCTCCGAGCCCTAATTGATAAACGTCAAAATTCCGACGGACGTACGGGTAGAATATATCACGGCGTAAACCATAGACTTCACGCATTTAAAAACGTGCAAAAGATCAAAAGCCGAACGCATATTTAAACGTTTGTCCGAAACAGATTTTTGAATCGGTACCATAAATATTTTATTTTGCATAAAGATCTGCGGTTCGGATCGGTCGACGTGCGATTAGGACGAGGGGTTGAACGAGAGAAGGTAGACTGTTTAGTTCGAGAGACGAGGTCGAAGCCCGTGTCGAACGAACTCGGTAGCTATATACAAAAGAGAATCCAACAGCGACGCGATTACAGTTGAATCTAGACGCTAACGAGCCTCTAACACAAGACTGATTAGCTAATCCCGTTTATTACCCCCTGCCCCAACCCCTGTTCGCTGAGTAAGTTATCGAATCGAATGGTAGAAGTTCCATATACGTAAATAGATAAGTTCATAGTATATCGTACACAATTTACATCCCCGCGATCGTTTTCTTTTTTTAGTATTCGAGAGTATTCGAGACGCATCTTCTTCCCCCTCGTACCACTTTGTTCCTTTCGCGTAGTTGCGATCGGGGCGATCGTCCCGGAAGGGAAAACCGGAAGCAAACTATACGAAACTTGAAACGCGATTCAAAGATCAGATATAGAATCGCATGATTCATAAAAACTGAACTGGAATTTCGTGAAAATGCTTTCGGCATTCTCGAAGCGGAACGCTCGTTCCTTTATCAGCTTCGAAGACGCTGCTACAACTCGCCAGCCAGAAGCTAGTGAACGAGACTCGAGCACCAGTGACCTAATGCATACAACGCGCAACGCTTTAACCACGTTATACGTAAGCAACGAGAATAATCGTACAAACGCACGACGCTTTATACCGTTAAATGGTTTCAATTTCCCCCATCGATTCGCGTCTTTCCTCGAATCAGTCGATCGATTCTTTTCTCCACTGTTCTCCCCTGCTGGAGTTTATAAGTCAAGGATGATCAAATTTTCTGGATTGCTCCAGGATTATTCGTTACTGATTTACATCCCTTTTCGTAAGTCTTAGAGTTGCGAAACGATTTAGTATAAATTTCGAAGTACTATTTTATCGAAGCTTCCTGATTTATTATGCAATCTATTCAATGATTTACTATAATGTTTTAGTTATTATGATCATTAACACGAAACATTTACACTAGATCTTCAGGCTGACAGGCAACGTGAGACTTATGAAGGGGGATGTTTGCTGGCGAGTTGCCAGAGCTATTCTACTCTCTTTGACTCTTCGAGGGATTGGAACGGGCCACGTGGCCGGGTCCGCGAAGGATCTGGTCGATTGTATTATAAACAATGTGAAGCCTCGCTCGTATTCTAAAGTATTTAGTATAAACGTTGGGTAAAACACTGTTGAACGCTTAGACCGTATGCACAGTATCGTGTGCGCACGGCGTTTGTAAGATTTAACCTGAGAAATGTTCCCTGAAAGAAAGTGACGAGTTGACTCTCTCTAATATCATGAACAGGCGGCTCGTGGCTCTAACGAACGGAGAAGACGAAGAAGAAGTCTCTTAGGCCTACATGTATATGTATAGTTTTGAAATCGTGTAATATAAATTTATGTATGTACATTAAGGACGAAGAATCTGGTATTACTGACGTACTCGTAAGGTAACAAGGTATGAATGCGTGTGCGTACCGTGGCGGTCGAAGTTCCATCGGGTCCTCGTACCGTTCGCACGGGTCGATATCATCGGAATTATTTGAAAAATCTTTGGCATTGTCGTATTTCTTTGTCTAGATATTCGCCGTTGTGAGTGAACATGAACGAGACGATTGCGTATGTCTTAATTAACGAAATAATTGCTTCGACAGGGGACGCGCGACCGTTCGAAGGAAAATCGTGGAAAATTGGCGGCCAGCTATTCGACAAAATTCCATTCCTCGATTTTTCGTTCTAAAAGTTAGGTCGCCCGTCGATCATCTCGGTCTTTTTATCGAATGTCCTGATCACTGGACGTTTTAAGCAACGTCTGTACTTTTTTCCTCTTCGTTTATACTTTTTATAGATCGCCCAGCGACGACGTTTATTTCGCGGGATTTAATTTAAGTTAACATTTAAGTCGAGGACTGTCCCGTTGTTCCTATTCCGTATCCATTTCTTTTTTTTAACGCAATTTTTCGTACTGTTAGTCATAGACGTAACTTACCTAAGATTTCGCAAGTACGCTTTAAGTTTAATTAGGATAACCGATGCTCGACGAGACAGCCTCCTCCGGTTTACCTTCATTGATCACGTATTAATTGATTTTTCTTTCTTCCTCTCTTTCTTTCTTTCTTTTACTACCTTCCGGTGTTCATACGCCTGCCCTAAGAAAAAAAGTTAAACAAAAATTCTTCGCACGACTGCTCAATATTAGATTGCTCAAGCTCCACAGGGAAACAATTGTCACAAGCTCTCGAAACAAAACGAAAAAAAATTTGACGAGCGTTTTTCCTCCCCAAACACGCGACACTCGATCATTTTCCTTTACGTTTCACCCTACGCTCATCTTTCAGTAATCATCCCGTCCTCCGTTGCGTAACCACCCCTCCTCTCAATCTTTGATCCAGTCGCTCTTAGTACAGATGAAACGAGGAAAGAAAGAAACCGACTTCCTGAAGAATCAACCGTATTCTACTAATTTTTACCTAGGATTTAGTAGCGAATGTTTTTCTACGCTGAACGTATTTTGCATAAGTCGAGAGATATTTTGGAAGCAAGTATCGCGTGTATTGTTAATCCGACTGTTAGAATTACCGTACTACGTAGTATTGTAACGTTAAGCCCGACAGAGAAGGAGAAAAATTAATATTGGACGCGAGCCCAGTTTCGTTTTTAAATCCACGGCGTTCGTCCAAAATTATTGGCACGATCCTCGTTCTCGATTCAGATCGGATATTAATCGTGCGAAATCGATTGCTCGTTCGCTCAATTTTGTTCGTAGAACGCGGGTGAACATTTCTTTTTTCCTATTATTTATTTTTTTTGTACATATACATTATTGTCGTATTTATTTGTCAATAAAGAGCTTGCGATACGCGGACACGGATACTTCATCAACGGCCTTCACCTTTTCTCTGCGCAAACGAGCCAAGTATTACCCCGACAATAGGACTCGAAATTAATAAATTCTACTGCCACTACGTAGACTAACGAATGATAGAGATAGTTTTTTATGACCATGCCCCACGGTTTTGACAATTTTCAACGAACGTCCTCCACGTACTTAGAATAATCAGACTGCAGATTTCAGGCGTAGAAACGCGTAGAAAACTCGGAGACACGTGAAATACGTATATAATTGTTGTTTTAAATGATAAAAATAATTTCGTTCTCTCAGTTGATATTAGGAATGTTTCAATCAGCATGAAAATCCGCAGTCTAGGAATCACGACGATGCCATTTTCAACGAGTCCTTGTGTACCGCGTGGCCTACTCGACAATTCCTTTTCAGGACAATGAGCGACTGAATTATGATCGCGGGACACGCCTTGTTTCGTAACCTCGTTCGATTTTCGCGTCGCCTTCATTTACCCTTTTTCGGTGTAACGGACTCGACGAAATCCTCTTGTGTTACCAGTTTTTGTGAAATCATTTTTCACGCGACTATAACGTGCTTTCACTATCGGAGCGTGAAAAGATAAGAAATCAACTATTTTCTGTTCGTCGATACGAACGGACACGAGGCATTTTTTATGAAATGAATTTTCGTTTCGTACGACGCGCAAAGTGCTTTCACTATGAAAGAGGAGAAGAAAGTGTAACCGTCCCCGAATCACCCCGAGCTGTTAAAAACTGGAGAATGTTTAGAGATCGAAAGGAGAAGTGTTTAACCGAGTTCATCGACGGTAATTTGTAATCGATCGACGTTGTAAGAATCGAGGAAAAATTCTTGACTCCCCGTTCGTCGAAGCATGCTGGTCGAGATTTAATTTCCTCTCGTGTGTCCGGCAGTCCGTTAATTGTGTAATTTACTATTGCGATTATAAATACATATATATCTACGTTACGCTGCACGCGAAGCGGAGACAGAATTTTATTTACCAAATACGAGTTTTTATAATAAAACACTTTTTTGTGAAAGAAACTCGTCCGACTTTGTTCCCCCAGTGTTACAACGATACTTCACGTTTCGTTTGATTTCCCCAGAAAACGAACAACTTAATGCATAAGATTACGACAGTCGATCTTATACTTGTTCAAAGTTAGAAGCATTTATCGAAGATTAAATAGAAAGGAAATGGGTAAAACGGTAGATAGTAGAGAGAGATGAATGAATTTACATAGAACGTGGCTTAGAAAGCAGCCACGACCAAATAAGGCAGCCATCTCACGACGACGAGATTCTTGAGAATCGTCGTACCCCGCGGAACAGGTATACCCGATTTTGTTCCTCGTTTTGCATCCCAGTACGTCGCTCAGTGTGTGCGTTTCAGTCCGTGTCCATGCAACTGCGATCCGTTCACCAAGAAGGCTGACCTCGATTCCACGTTTCAAGAACGTGCCTTTTCGCGTCACGACTCGGAATCGTCGCCGACCTTTGTCGATGCTCTACGATCGATCCACGAATTCCAATCCCCATCGACTTTTCATCGATACAATTTCGAAGATCCTGTACAAACGAGAGTTCAAAAATTTAATTGATACCAGATCGGTTTTCACCGGCGCGACTCAGGAAAAGAGTCAGGACGAAGAAGACGCGAATTTGCGGCACACGTGTTTAGTTGTGGCCACTTGCCGGACTTCGGAACGCTGCGAAGTGCATGGGTACAAGGTGACGATCGACGCACGCGAAAATCCACTTTGCCAGATTCGATCCAGAAGATTTAGCAGCACCGAGGAGCCTCGCTCGCGTTTAAACGGCGTAACGGATCACGAACCGAGGAACCGCGAAGGAGCGAGAGTGCGATTTTATCTGATCGGAAGAACGCGTGAGACGATTTAAATAACATCGCGATGGAAAATGTCGCAACGCGTTATTACAATGCGTTGCGACAGGCGATTCAATTAAACCTCGTTAGGACGTGTGAAATGAACGAAGACGGGCTCTCGTAAGAACCGCGAGGACGAACCTATTGAGCCGCCGAAAATATTCAAAGTCAGAGGCCGGGGAGATGGGCCGTGAGTGGGTACCGTTATTACCTGTTCCTCGAACCGTTTTATCTCGCCAGAGGAAGAGGAACAAGCGTCTTTCTCCTCTTTATCTATCCTAACCACCTCGTTCGCCACTTTCGACCACCCTTTCCTACCTGCCCGCAAAATTTCCGAGGTCGCTGACCCTTGAAAACGAGTCGTTTTCGAGGAAACGCTCGTTTTGCTTCTACCATGTTTTGACTAGATCGAGAATTCTGGGAAGAATTCACGATATAACGTCAGTTAATTCTAAGGAACGTCACATGGCCGTTATACGATCAGCCTACCAAGCTCGTTCGATTAATTGAGATACCGATCGATATCAATCAAAAAATGACGATATGAATCGTGCGAATAAATTCGAAAATTGAGATGCAGATGATAATACAGTTCTGAAGAGATGCTCAGAGATCGTTGTCCTCGTTCGAGCGCAACGCCTACCGACTCCGATCGGAAAGTCACCTGCCGCATACCTTTTGCTCCGTCGTCGCCGGAGGCGGCAATCTCTTTCTCTCGATCGTAGACAGAGACAGTGGAGCGATTCGCGAAAAAAACGTTCGCTTTCACGAAAGTCCACGCGCTGCCTTTTCGTTTTCCCACAACAGTGATTATAAAAATGCAACAGAGATATCAGATACATAGACTGCGAGTCATTGAGTAAACTATTTATGACATCGATTTCAAATATGAAATATAGATTCAGACGGCTTTTATCCTTTCGTTCTTATTCAGTATTTATGATAGAATTTTAATAGTAATTTATGAATGAATAATAAAATGCAGTGTACAAATATGAGACTCGTGTACGTGGGTCTGTGTTGAATAAATAATAGGAACTGTACACGGGCCACGACCGGTTGGCGTTGAGAAAAGGGACAATGAATGAATTCGGGGCGCCACCGAAAACACTTTAAACGGAAGCAGAGAACGTAACGCCCGCGTTGCAGCGTGCGAAATTCTTGGCACGCAGCCCGGAGTGCACCGTTGCTCGCTTATCGGTTCCAGGTTCGATTTACCCTGAGAACTGCCGATCGGAATTGGTAATTGCTAGACCCGTTCTCGTTACGCGACCGAATCCGACCTCGTAACACCGTGAGTCTGTTACTCAGTTCTAATTAAAAGAGAGCCCGACCGACGAATAAAAACGAGATCTAAATATGAGTTAAATATTTCGTCTCTTCAATCGTCTCGTGATGCTTCAATATTTCCAATCATACATATTTCACAGTCCCTCCTTCTCGTAAATAATAGAAACGTGAAGTCAAGTGAAAATCGATTGTTAGAACAGTTACGTGTTTGCGGAAAGATATTAGAGCCGTTTTCCAGCATGAGTGGCACGAACTAATGTTTGTCGACGAGGATGGTCTAATACTAGAAGCAGAGCATACTTTCCTCGATTATTACGTAAAACCGCATAGAAGGCGATGATTCCATGACGAGAATAACGACTGTTTCATCGTTCAAGAAACACATATTTTCTCTGATGTTAACTAGTCTCGATGAGCCAATGGGAAACAACGATTCCGGGGTCAGGCACCGAATAATTAAACGCACTGACATAATTGACGCTCATTGTCAGTAAAATACGAGACGCATCATCATTGTGTCATTCATACTCATAAATTAATCTCTGGCTTTTACAACAAATCCAGATTAGATTGTTCCTGGTTTGCATCCAGTGAGAAGAAAAGATAGAATCGCAATGCAAAGTTTATCTGCTGCAACGAAATCACACCCGGCACTTTGCTCGCTCCAGCAACCCAGATCTCCCAGCGACGGAAATATACCGTTAAAACGTGCCACGGGCCCGCAGTCCGTAACTCTCCACGTTTGCCAACGATTCATGTCCCGTTCCTACCGATCTATCGATCGTCCTCAACGTCTCAAACTCTGTAAATAATAATATAGAGGCAGATGTTATGCGTTTGTACAAAATTTGAATATGGGACGAGATACAAGGATCGCATATGATGCATAAAAATGTATGAAGCCCGCAAGCTACAGGCATATCACATTGCCTAAACGCTTTGATTTGCATAAAAATCCGCAGTAACAGCAGATAAAGCAACTGTCCTTTTAAATGGAGAACGTATGGACCATGTCAGTGTAACAGGAATTGTGACAGACGATTGTACCGATTCTCGCGGAGAAAGCGTACGAGCTGAATCGTCGCGGGTTTTTGTCGCGTTTCTTTCATAATTCTCGTGATTGGCTCGTCCCGATTTCGCGCGCTCGTGTCACGATCCTGGATTTCGTACACGAGTCATTAAAGTGCAGAGGCGTCAGTCAGTGAAAACGGTATACACACTTAAATACATCAATGAAATATAAAATAATTATTAAATCGTTACGAGTGTTTTCATACGTATACGGGTCTACGATGTAATTATTGGAAAAAGGTGATGCATATGCATAGCAGCGGTGCACTAATGCGGCGAGCGTGGTTACTCGCTTTAGAGACTTTCATTTCCCTTTCAACCGAGTACGGTGTACACTTTTCCAGCTTCGAACATTCGTGGAAAACGTACCTTCCGCTCTGAACCCGATAAACGCGATGGTCTCACGATCATCTCACTGCATTGTTGCAACTTTGCATAATTCAATGCTTCCGGCATTCTATTTTTTAGCCAGTGAAAGTGCGACAAATGCCGGGTAATCGAGGAGAATGAAACGAGAGGCGAGACCGGTGAAACATCTCGTTTAGATATGATTTCAGATACAGAATGGATCTCTGCGGTTTTGTACAACAGATCCCAAAGCTGCGGACACGTCTGACAGGATTACCGAGGATCTATATCGGTGAGAATCGATTCGACTTAAATAGCTCGAGTATCGTGTTTTCTCAGTAATAATCTCGGTTCTGGGATTCGAAACCCCACCGGTTTCTCATTAAAATTAATTAGATATTTCTCTGTGTAACAAACTTATAACAAGTCGTGATCTATAAAAGATGAAATCTTTGTATATAAGAAATTTATTTCAAACGACATATTGGCCGGTATTCATTATTTATTTTTAACATCGTTTTATGCATTTGCTATCCCTGTCCATCATCCCACGTTTCCTGTTCCTGTCTTGTACCGGAAACGGGGACTTAAGCAAATACTTAAGGCGATCTTAAATATAAGTAAGGACTCTGAATACCGGCTATTATGTCACTGAATAGGAATGCAATTTCTGATAGTACGACGTCACACTATTTGAATTATGAATGAAAGACGAAATCTATGAGACGATATAAAATATGTGACACGTCGTGTCTGTGAATGGGAGTAGAATTCTGGATAACTCGTATCAGAGAATAGTTGTCTATGGTCACGACCCTAAGCCGACGAGCAAAAGGTTCGTGGTCGATGAAGGATAGACCATAATATCCAGAGACGCAGAGTAATAACAGCGCCGAGAGTGCCTCTGGCACTTTTCTCTCGCTTAATCGTTATGGAAAGTCGGAGGATAATATGGGACGTCGACGCGCCGCGGAATCTCGTAGGATCAGTATGCAGTCTCTGTTTTGTCTATCTTTCTCGAATGAAGAAACTTAATGACGTCCCAAGACGATTTTCCAACGAGCGAAATGCAATCAGTACAGAGCATAGAATCTTCTTCAAGAAGAATTCCATTTTCAAAATTATCCTAGTTTCCAAAAATTTGTTCAGATCAAATTGGATCGAGTGGTCGATGCGGTGAGCAGGATTACCAGTATCGCTTAATTGGTGCGTAACGCGACAATACAAGTATGTACGAGTCTCGAGCGGGGTGAATGTTGCGGCAACGGAGGCGACCGCGGATAACACGACCGCCACACCGCAAGAATCTCGTTGGATCGGATCGCTGGTTAGAGTGTTGAACTAAGGTGCACCTTGATTACCGTGCAACACGGGTAGCATCGACTTTTTCGAAGTTTCAATATAATTTTACAATACAGGCTCGAATTCTTTTAAAATCCTGACTGATTCAACGAGACCTGCATGGATAGAACAGTTTCTAGTCCTTCGATGAGAACATAGAATTTTCATCTGGTTCGAGCAATGCATTCATCAGTCCTTTTAAACTCATAAAAGAATTTGCACGCATTGATTGATTCTCGACAGGGCGACGAGATCGACCGATTTTGGGTGTGCAAAGGGGGTTAAATTGGAAAGAGGACTCGCGTAGAGGTTCGAACTGAAAAGTGGGGACGCGGAATGGGTACCGGCGCGGAGAAGCGGGAGGAACACGGATGGGCGCCTCGCTCGCGGGTAAAGGAGGTTGAGTGAACGGGGTACGGAGACAGAGAGAGAGGAGACGATGGACAAACAGAGAGACGCGAAGAGTGGGAGAGAAACAGGAGACGGTGTTTGTAATCAAAGGGGCGATCCGCGGCGCGGCGTGGAAGAAAGTCGGGCCTACTGTAGCCAGTCCGGCACGGCGCGTTGTCCCGAATGCACGTCGAACCATCGATTTCCGCGTGTGCTGGCCACGTGATATCCCGCAGACGACTGTTATCGCACCTAACTCGCGGTTTCCGACGTTCCCTCGGTCGCCGATCCAGCGCGTGATCCGCCGGTCCGGTATCGGGACTTTAACGGTATTACCGTTGGCTCAGCGAGCCCAGCCTGGTAACAAGTAGCAGGAAGAAGCTGCGAGTGCGGGTAGATCACATGGTTAGATCTAGTGGTTGGATCCCAGTTTGCTATTACTCGGCCGACGAAAACGAGTCAATGAATGGTAAGTAGCTGTGCGATCGTCGTGGGAACGAAACGAAATATACTCTTGTTTCATAAGAAACCGAGTAAAGTGCATCCTCCGAGAATCGAACATGTACGATACCGCATATTTGATTAGAAAAACAAATTGGAATATGGAGAGTCTCTCTTTGGACATCGACTGATCGACCAAGGACGATCGAAAGTATGCGAGTGATGTAGCGGCTATTATTTCAATCGTTAACCGAGGTAGGCTCGGGAAAGAATCGCGACAGGTGGAAGAGTAGAACATATTGGACGCGACACAATCTTCCGACTCGTTATCGAAATAGCATTCGCTTAATCCGTTTAACGGGACTGCTAAGGCTTCGATCTGCGTCACGCTGATATGAAACCAACAGAAACTCCAAGAACTACCCTGTGTCTCTACGTATCTTTCGAAATCATATTTCTATCAAGTGAATTCTATCAATAATTTTCGCAAGATTATTCAAACCGTATTGTACTTCTGCTAACTAGACTGGAGATTTTGCGTAAGGTTTATATAGAATGCGTTTGAACGTGCAGAAAATATGAAATCGAAGATTGTTTGAACGGTAAAACAAATTTGAAATGCATTTCTTTGACTGACAGCACAAACGGGAAAAAATCTGCGGTCTACTTATCGATAGTTATCAAAGGTTAATTGAATGGAGAATGGGATTTGAAATGTATAGTCGGTTTGGTTAAAAGATCGCGGATAATGCGCGTGCGGGACGTTTCCCCTGATCGACAAGAAATCTCTCCGGCGAAACCAGTTTCCGTGGTTCGCCGGGGCCTTTGAAAGTCTCGATGGCATTTCGCGTACTTTTTTAATTCCACGATTTTCTAGCTAATACGTATATATGCCTATCCCCCGTGCCCAATCCATGGATAATTATTCCCGATCCTCGTGAAAGTTTCGACGACGCTAGGAAGCGCCAAACAAACGCGTAACGCTCCAACGACAACCCGCTCGTGCTCGATTTTTCTTTTATTTCACCCGCGGTTGTTATACAACTTCCGTCTTTCCAGTTTCTAAATCGTTTTCAATTCGACTGCCTGGCAACCGCAAATGTCAGTCGAGGAACGATCGATCAAATACTTCTTCACTGAATCAAACGCCCATAAATACCAATTCAAGTTGGCGATCGGAAAACGTAACGTCTAGTCTCGATACGACGTCGCGTATGAATTCTACGTGCATAAACTCTGACTCGGGTTATCGATTGGAAAATCTAGTGCACAAATTCTAATTAAAAGATGCGATATCGAGCGTCCGATGAGATTATGACGAAATCCCCTCGGAGATGATCTCGAACAAGTGTAGAATTAATTGGTTGGTGGCGGTTCATAGATCTCAAGGGAAAAGAAAAATAGGTCGAATTTAAAAAACGAGGAGAGACGACCGCAGTAATGAATGGCACACGCTGTCAAAACCCGTGAAGCGTGACGGGGAACGCAGCGTCGATTACGTAATTATTCCCGGCCCGGTGCATTGTGTATCCTCCGCCGTTCACGGCTGGGAAAACGCACGATTCCAAGGGTCGCCATTAGGCTCGGAACGACCGAGAGTGCAAACCGCGCGATACCGTTCCAAATATGGGCACCGTCTCACTGGAACCATTAACATACTCGCTTTTCCGCATACCTAATCTTCTCTCCTAATATTCACGCTTCTATCAGATACTCCGCGATTATATAATTCGTTCAGGCGTGAAATTTGTAAACCCTCGTAACTTTTTGTATAATCTACCGCTTTAATTCTCCTGTTAGTTGTATATTTCCATGTGTAGTAAAGGATTTTCTAATCAGTGAAATAAATAAATAAATGAATAAAACTGCGATGAATGAAACGCATAAACTCGACGCAAGTCGAGGTAGAACTAGAATTTCCAGGTCTAGATTCGTTTTCCGTTAAGAGAGTTCGAATCAGATAAAAAGATTTATAGGAAGCGCGAGCTAGAAGTAAGTAGAATGAGCCGCGTCCGAGTCAGACCGGCGGGATACGAGTTGTAGGTCAGTTTCGAGCGGTTTACTAATTCAGAGCAGGTTCAGCTGTCCCCGTTGTTTGACAAACCGATTATGTACCCGACCCGCGAGTAATCGAGCCGTGCATTTATTAGGATGCGGTACAGTTTTGGGTGTCAAGGAGGTTCGGCAGTTAGACGGCTCCTCGTATTACCAATTTCCTTCCGAAGCCTTTCTCGCTAACAGAAAATTCACTTCAACAGCAATGATAATTGCCATATTAGAGATCGAAATTATTTGTCGACAATCAATGAATGAATTATCGACGGCAAACTGCATATGCAAATTTATAAATGACTCAGATAAAATCTTATAGACTGACCCATTAAAAGATGTAATAAATAGGAGAAAGACAGCAATTATATTATCTGAAAGGTGATATTACAAAATGTGACCACACGAGTTTTCCTGAGTGATTCCCTCGACTTTCCATCGATTTATCAAACGCGTAACCTCGCCGGCTTTCGCGATTTCTGTGTCAAGTTTGAAACGACGACGCGACGACGGTATCCGGGACAGGTGGGATTGATCGGGTTCATCTCGCGAATCAGGGTTTCGTAATATTTTCAAGAGCCACGAGAGAGCCGGCACCGCGCCGCGCCGAGAATGTGCCGCTCGGCCCGCGGCTACAAATTCCGTTACAAGCACTTGTACGGCTCTTCGGCTCTTCCCCCACGAATAAATTTTTTACCTGCGCGACCGGATTTCGTACCTCTTCTTCAGAAAAATCTCGATTGTCTTCGCAATTTAGACACGCACCTGTTAAGTCTTACGATTCGTAGAATACGCGAGATGTTCTAAGAACGAGAATTAACAAACAAAAATTAATTCCTTATTGCAGGGAATAAAATGCTATAATATTTTAACGAATATGCTGAGACCCGCGAACCTGAATTTCCAATCTAAACAAGAATGTTTTTTATTAAACCATGAAAATCGCACGATGAGTATACGGGAAGTAATTTGGAGTTTGAAACTATACGGAAGCGTGAGAGAACTTTGGAGCTCCTGGTTTGGATGAAAGTTCGCCAGGGGCGATTATTCACGTCAACGCAAGAAGCTTTCCGATCGATATCGGTTTTCCAGTAGCCGTTTTCCGCCGGGGAGTTGCGTGCAACCTTCGGCTTGTTTCACCGAGTGATTTACGAGGCCGAAGCCAAGGGACTTTCCATTCTCGCGAATCGCGTGAGAGACGCGGCTCCTTCACCGCGGAGAGGACCGTGCCGATATTGAAAAACGTACGACCGTGATTCCGCGGCGACGATCAGCTGATCCTGAGTGACCCACGGGTCAATCTACTTTCTACTTCCCGCGTTCCTTTCGGAAGATCACGGTGGTCCCCGGCTAGAAACACACTTTCTCGCGTTCGGATGCTGATGAGTGAAAACGGAGGTGGACGAAGACTTATTGCGGGGGACGAGAAATTATTTTCTCTGCCCCAAGATTTCCCGGGAAATCCTTTCATAAACGTTGTATCACCTGTCGTTTGCTATTAAACGTTCACTGAAAACATTAAATGAAAGTTACTGTCTTCTTGTAAAAATGCGCCAAGAGCATTATATCGTTTATCTTGGATTTTCAAACCTGCTTTCATATTTCACTCCCACAATGAATCTTATAAATGGACTGCAGATTTTATGTGTTCATAGATAAGTTAACTGTCCAAGAAATTCTCGTTGTATCAGAAAACTGCAGGTCTTCGGTTAGTATTCGATATCTGGTACAATGACACAGAAATAATTGTAAATAAAATGATAAGAAAATCGCGTGTGGATTATGGATGATTCTTACACTTGTTCGCGTAATTGTATTATAACATAACAGTACACGGACGCGTGGACGATACGTGTGCGCGCGTAAGCGTGGAAAACGAGCAGAAACATGAAAGTTCCGCGTTAAGTTGGTCACGCGAGTTGGTGGCCGCGCGCCGGCATGTAGTTAAGATCTCTTAATGACCGTCCGAGGAGATCTCCTGCGTGACACAGTTAGTCGGCATCTATTCGGTTTCATGACAATCCGCGTGATTTCTGCCTGACAGCAGTACACATTCTTCTATACGAGATTCGAAAATCCGTTAAACTATAAAAAATAGCTGGCAGCGATCTCTTCTCGAAACGGAATATGCATAATCGAATAGAGAAAGCGGTAGTCGTCTCGTTCGACGATCGGCAGAAGGAAAGATCGTTCACGATTCAAAGAGATCATAATTCTTACTAGACTTGTCATTAATGAATTCATTTAAAGAAGTTTCACTTTGTACAAAAATCTGTGGTTTAAATGTAAATAAAATACTGTTGAAATGAACGAAATTCAAAACTTACAAGTTTTACTTTGCATAAAAATCTGTAGTCTATTAATAAATAAAGAACGATGGATGAAATTCGATTACGACACTAGGGCTCGTCTACAATGGAAGTATGAACCTGGTTTCAGGGAGTGGCCAGCATTCCGGAGTTAAAAGATCAATGGGATGAATGGGACCTGGCATTGAGAACGATCCGGAAAATGGACGTCGTCAAGACCACAACGGAGAACTTCGTGACGGTGGTCAGCGTCGATAGTCAGCCGCCACCGTCAGAGAATTTCGTCACCGTTCTATCGATCGGTACCACCAAGAAAGAGGAAGAACTCACCACTGTAACCTTGAAGAGTCCGAGCAATGGAATTGACGGACCCCTCGAGGAAGAGGTCGAAGTGTACCGACTTCCCGGTGAGAGATTAGGATTCGGTTTGAAGTTCGAAGGAGGAAACAAGACCACGGAAAGGGTCCGGAGGCTGTTTGTTCAAAGCTGCGCGGAACAGAGTCCTGCGAGCAGGGCTAAGTGCTCGTGGGGAGCTTTAGGAGAAGGTGACGAGGTACATATTCCGATTGCATATTGCATATAACAAAATCTGGCACATGTTCTATCAAGGATGCATTGGCTATATAGTCAATCCCAA